TGTGGCTGATAACATTCAACCTGCGGCTTTTGTAAGGCAATAGTTCCTTCCGTCTGAGTGCGCTTTTATGAAGTAGAATTTAAGCCGTTTATCTTCTCTTTCCATACATATCCCTGTTCAATAAAAACAGGTCAATAGTGTGTTCAGGCTGAGTCCATTCTGCATTATCGGAATTTCCCTAAATACATGTAACAGTATGGAAAAGTACCGGCTGTGGGCATTTTAAGAAAAATGATTGTCTATTTTTAAACATAGTACTACCATTAACAAAATAAATAATTTGAACTATATTTTATATCGTAAAATATCTGAAGATATATTTCTATCTTCTAATGCCTGCTTATCCGTAATTGAAATAATTATTACTAGAACGTATAAACACAATTAAGAGATTTGAAACAGTTTGTATAACAGTATCTTAAAAAGTTTAAATAGTAGCAGTGGCTATTAAATAATCTAGTTGGCAAGTGCAAATAATTTGCACAGTATATTGGTAAGTGATCAAATGAAAAATCAATTCGAAAATAAAATAATGCAACGTATCATAAGTTGGAGAAATCAATTGTTATTTTCTCGTTAATTATAATCGACAAAAGAAACAAAAATGAATTTAAACTTCATTAATGTTTTGACCTATTGACTTCATCTAACTTAGCCTTCCGCCTCAAGTTAACAATTTACGAAAGTATTCTAAGACCGGTCCTCGTTTATGGAGATCCACTCCTAACTAACATATCACCGGCAACAGCGAAGAAGCTCTAACAGTTTCAGAATGGTGTGCTGAGATAAATAGGGAGACACACGACTTTACAAAAACACTTATGGACTGGCTATATACCATCCTCGAATTACCGAAGGTGGACGGCTCTACTACACGCAGGCATATCAAATTCTTTGATGACCTTAAATACTCGATACCTTAAATACAAACCAACTTTTTAAAACACTTATTCCACTTAATCACTAACCCATGAGATGGCAGACATACATTAAAAACCTATTGCTAGACTGAATTGACATTTACAGGACACTAGAAAGCCCCTTCACTAGACTTAGACACACTATAACTATGAATAACCACAGTACTTCCAATTCCCCATCATCCTCTTAAAATGCACTTTGTGTGTACAAGAGGTCATGTTTAAGCCTCCTACTACCACTCAGTTCTCAGCACCACATAATATGGGGTTGAGAAAAAAAAAAAAGTTTTGAACCAACAGAGTTACAAATTTCAATAAGCTGCATTTTTACTAATTATCGTCCGATTTCAATGATTTATTTTTGTTCTATTGGGAATTAGTATTCTTTTAAATAACCATGGGTTTAATAAACAATAAGTTTATACTTTTTGAGTTATTGATAAATAAAGTTTCTTTTCCTTCCTAACTTTTTTTCATGAACTTTCGGGGAGATAGGACTAGTTTTCCAATATGAAGGAGAAGGAAACCTTCAAAATGATAGCTAAATTTTGAGATTTGATGAAAAACTAACGAAATACGGCTTACCGACAAAAAAATTCCTTTGTTAAAACTCATATGAGCCTTTCTGTTGACAGAATGACTAAATCCAATTTGGCACAAAACCGATTTCGAGCCTTATTGTAATGATATTTATGGGTATAAAATTTATTTTAATTTTTAATTGTGGGTTGATGGTTGACTGTAGAGAATAATTGAAGAGAAGAATGGTTAGGGTGATCAGTGAAAAAAAAAATATATAAAAATAAATAAGTATATTTATTTTTGTCGACGTTTGGGCCCTTAGTGTAGGCCTTCATCAGGGCTAGTGAAACGAAAGGATTCTGCAAGAGAAAAGGATTAACCCCAACCAATTTTCTCTTCAATTATTTTAATTTGTATGTATTATTTTTATTATTTTACTAAAAAATAATATAAATTGTCAGTGAATGACACACAATTTCAACGATTTATGAAAATGTTATAATTATTATATGTTAAAAATTAAAGGTGCAAATCGTTGTTGTAATATTCGTCGGCAGGCTTGAAGAGATACTACCAGGTGGTAGCACTCCTTAAATAATTCTAGGTAAGAAGATCACAAGGCCATCTCCTTTTCAGACGCCTAAGAGGATTATCAGGAATCGAGGAAGGAGCAAGGGTGGAAACAAGTGGGTTCGGATGGGACTGGAGTTTATCATGAAAGGATAGATATCTGGCTCGGGCTAAATCAGCTGCATATGGTACATTAAGGTCTTTCTGAATGGTTTTATTTATGACAGATATGGATCATTAAGGATTTCACGAAGGGTTTTGGATTTTAAGGATTGGATACGATAGGAATTCGATGGTTTGGTGGAGCCCCAAAGCTCAGGACTTAAAAAGTAAAATTGATATTTGTATTTTCATTAAAATTTATTTAATTTAAATTAATATTTATCATTAATTCTTAACCAAATTTGAAAACTATTCGGTAAAAATTATACGTATACAGTATTCTGTTTCATAAGTATATTTTCAGGTTAGTACAAATACTACTCGCTAATCAGTACATCTGTATTCGTGTAGAGTAATCATAAACAAAAATCAATATTTGTATTTTTCGTATGTGATTAAAATAAATATTTCAATTTTTCATGGTTTGTTCAAAATGGTCGATTTTCTACCACCTCTATAATTTAATGTCTTACAGCAATTTTGTGCCTGTATCGAACCTACCTTTCCCCAAGGGTAGTTGTAGGGATTTTTGAGAACGAGCCAATTTTCTGATTAGAGTGTAGCCTTGTTAATAAATGTAGGTCCGTTTTAATCGTATTCTCTCGAGCGATTCTAGTATGTTTAAGTGGGAGAAACAGTCCTTTATAAACGAAGGTATCTTTTTTTTCCGTTATATGTTTTTTTTAAAATAAGGTGGAGGATAGATCATAATCAGGGCGCCACGGAACGGGTTCAAAAATTAGTCAGTGTATTTTTTTTTTTTTTAGTAATTAAATTATAACCTCCACGCTGAAAGGCACAAGGAGGAAAGAGAAGAGGAAGAAAATTACTATCCGGCTTAAAGATTCGAAAGTTGTGGTCTATTCGCAGAAATAAAATTACCACACATTGGAACTAGACGATTTGGAAGGGTTAGTGTAAATTCTCGTTTAATATATCATTGTTCCTGAATCGTGTTTGCATCCATTTCCTCTCTCTATACATTTCATCTAGATTTTCTTAACAGATTAACACAATAGCTATGTTTCAAGATTTACTATTTTGTGAAATAAAAATATATTTAGTATATTTACAACCGCCGAAGCGATTGTAAATATACTAAATATATTTAAGCGATTGTAAAAGAGGCATAATCCTCAATTAGATGAAGCGGCTAACCAGGGACCGGGAAGAGTGGTTACGCTAGATTGAGGCTCCTCGACGCTAACTAATGGCATAAGAGGAAGACAAAGAAGAAGAAGAAATAAAAATAAATTTAAATATATGAAGAAATGATGAAAAAGCTTTGTTGAATCTCATTCCTAGAGATAGGGATCGCTAATTATATTTGTGCTGCACAGAAGTTTTGTAATTAATGTTAGTGTCATTCCGAATAAAAAAAACAACATTTAATTGAGTAGGTATGGTTGAATTTGTGAAAGGAAAATCACTATAGTGTGTAACCTGGACACTATTGAAGACAAAAAAAAGAAGAAAATAAATTCAAATTCATATGCATTATGCCAGGGGTTGAAACTTTTAGAACTTTTTTAAAAGGTTCCATTTTAACAGTATATGTGAAACTATTTAGGGATAAAGTTTTTAAAATAAAAGCTCTAAGGAACTATTTTGTAATATGTTTTATGGTTGTAGTTTAACTTATTATAATACAGTTTTATGGTTAAAGTTTAACTTATTTTTATTCAAGTTCTTAAAAAAAAAACACCGACAAATGAAAAATTAACAGTAATTGGGCTCAGATCAAAGTTATAATTTATATGAAATGAATTATACTTGATTCTAATTTGTCGTTTGTTTTATTAGTAATTAAAAATTGAGTTTTTAGTTCAAATGTTTAGCGAAATGGACTGAACTTTTAAATAAAAGTGTTGTATTACCCTTATTGAAAAGTTACTAAAAAAAAAAAAATTCTAGTTCCAAAAGAATAGAAAAACCATCTAGAATAAAAATTCCGATTATACCGACATTTTTTAAAATTAATTCTTTTTTTCCGTTTCAATCTCTGATTTTTACTTTTCACTTAGTATATATGTAATGTGTAGTAAGGGTAAGTATTGCGATCGTGAAAATTTTTGAATCTGAGTTTTCAACGGAAATACACGTTTTGGGGTACCCTGAGTCCAAATAACCAAGTCCCGAAAAATGGTTTATGTGTTTACATATTAGCAGTATAGCTCAAAAAGTCGTACGAAAGTGAAATCCCATATTTAAGGGTTGTATGTAACAGCAACGTTTTCGTAAAAAAACGGCTTACTCAATGTGCCACTTTATCAACAACGATGAAACCCACTTACAATTTTCTCAAAAACTGCTCTAACGATATTCCAACAGTATTTACTTCCAATCAGTGTGACAACTTTTCACCTGTCTATGAAAGACAATGCAAATCTCTGAATTCCCGTTTAGTAAACTTTGCAATGAAAAATAACAGTTTAATAACTAATATTCGTACAAAGGAACGTACAATCCATAATCAACCGCTGATATAATAAATAAGACTTTTGTTATTTTAATGGTATTTATGATTTGTTAGCTGTAATTTTTTAGCTTTAGCTCAGTTAAAAATGCAATTCAAAAATTTTATAATAGCCCAACATGGTCAAAAAATAATTTCTATTCAAAGTTGAGCGGTAAGTGAAAGTTGTGTGTTGCGTGCACCAGATTTTTAAATTTAATCTTATCTCTCCTTTTTCATTTTTATGGAATTCAAGGTTTTTATCACTTCATCTTTTTTTCTTTGGTTTCATTTTAATATTTTAATTATATTATCTGTAAACATTATAATATGCGTTTCCATAATATTTATAATTATAGTTTTCGTTTCAGATATGGTGCAGAAAAGGCGCTGCAAAATAAATGCAGTGCCTCAAAGGCCACTGCTGCCTCCAATAAAGATTGTATTGGTTCAGCCCCGTGAGGTAATTGGTGTTTTTTTTCCCTCCATGTATGTTAAGAAATAATTTAATTTAATTTGGAAGATAATAGATATATTTTATTCTTAGTCTGAAAGTAAACAAATTAGTTTGCACTTGAAATTTTCATTAAGAGACTTTAATGTATAACAAATTTGGACAAATGTATTTGTATTGTCAAAGAACTGGAAGCTTACAATGACAGGAGTGAAAAAAAAAAAGACTGAAATGGTAATAACATTGAAAACAAAATTAAATAAATAAAGTTAAAAGATTTTATAATAAAAAAACAACAACAATCCATATTCGAGATTCAGCACCCTAATAAACTTATATATACAAACCTTTAACCGAAACAAAAAGTTAAAAAAAATTGCCAGAGTGTGAATTTTTTTTTCAAACCTTTATTACGGCTGAATACCTCGACAAAATCGGAGTTAGTCAGTTAGTGCCACGGGAAATAGGAATGTTTCCTCTTGTTGATGTTAACAATAAAGTATACGTTTGCTAGCGCTGAAATCAATAAAAAAAAATCTGGTGCGGTGCCGCGCATCAGACAACTTTCACTTACCATTCTCTTCTTTGCAGAAATAAGTATTTTCAGACAAAGGGGAAGTGAAAGTAAAAATTACAGATGCTATATTTATTTATATTTCATTGTGTGTATTTTTATTTGTATAAGTACCCTTATATATACAAATTTTAATATTTATACGCTGTGATCTATTCAATTAAATATACTAAATAAATAATACCAACAATAGCATTATGAAAACCACATATGTATATTTATATAATATTCTCGGAGTCCGTATTATATTGAGCTCATGTTACGTATGGAAGCGTGTACTAATCTTTCGGGCGAGCTCGGGTGCGCTCGTATTCCTTTGGTACCTCAATTAAAACTATTCTCCGTTACGATCTTTTATTTCTCATTTATTTAATTATCAAATTCTTTCATATTTTATATTTCTCTATCTTTTATATAAGAGATTAATATGTAATGGTTAATTGTTTCAAATAAAAAATATTAAAGGTACTACTGGGAGAACTAATATTGAAAATTAGCCATTTAAGCCCTGTTAGAGAATACCAATCAGAATAAAAACTAAATTTTATTTAAAACTGCTTAATTTTACTCTAAAATAGTGAATTTAATCAAAATCGTTTGAGCCGTTTTCGAGGAAATCGTAAAAATGTGTTTAGTCCATTATATAAAATGCCACTTCCGGTTAGCCGGTTTTGATGAAAAAGTTGCTGTAACATCCCTAGTATATAAAAACCTTAAATATGCAATTTCACTGAACTTGGTTATTTGGACTCAGGAGACCTCAAAACGTGTATTTCCATTGAAAACTGAGCTTCGAAAATTTTCACGATCGCAATAATTCCTTTACTATGTATTTCATATATAGCATAGTGAAAGTAAAAACGCTGTATTGGTTCCATAATTATCTACATACACATTTCTATAATTTATCGTTTGCGAATAAATTCTACAGATGAAGCCGTTTTGGCAGTGTAGTATTGTCAAGTAAAAGCGTACGCGTAAAGGAAAAATATAGACGGAATTTGACAAAACCAAAGAATGGATCACAGAATTGTTGAAAATTTAATCAAATCGAATCAATATCTAGTTTAATAGTCTAGTTTAAAAATTTAAACCACTTATAGCTTTTTAACCTGTTTCCATTGGCACCAACGAATTTTAATTTTGTCAAGGTATTCAGCCGTGATAAGAGTTTAAACAAAAAACTAACAATACTCAAAACAACCCCTATTTTCACTGCCTAACACATTTCATTTTATATTGTGTCATACAGCCAATATATTTTTAGATATTAGCCACATTAATTTTAATTGTTTAATGGAATTTGATGAAACTGATACTTTAGTCCATAAATGGGGAACTGCGGCCTAGGGAGCCTCATGTGGCCTCTGTGACGTAGTTGTGGCCTCCAAACATTTTTTTGCGATATTTATTTATCTAGTTCTAGTATTAATTAATATTTAATTATTTAAGTAACGAAAATTTGGATATTAATTGAATTGAGTTGAATGCAAGTATGTGGGTGTGTGTATTTAGTGATAAATAAAAATAGCAACAGAGAAATATAAAGAATTACTGCGGCATCTATTGATAAAAAGGTAATCCACCTATGGTTTAGTCCATTTGTACAATATTCTCCAAACTCTCTCTCACTTATGGCCAAATCAGATGTGTCATTTGTCAAATGTTGGAGTATTGACGTTAACAGATTAAAAAAAAACAAATTATATGGAACCACCTTCATCTATCGATAGACATACACGCACCTACTTTGTTCCTTGATATGTAATACGTGATGGGAAATATTCGATTCTGAGGATTCAATTCTTTTTAACGTCCTGCACGAATACATAGATTTCCAACCTCAGGTGAACGGAAACAGAATTAAACACTCATATTTTCGTATGGATTTAAATTTATTAAATAAAGTCCTATTGGCCCATTTGGTATATATTATAGTCCTTTTGGTACCATACAGATTTTGCTGTTAATCAGTTAAGTTTACTAGGATCTACGAATGTTTTTTCATTATCGTTAGAAATAATAATTCATCAAGATCAAATCGTTGGTAAAATTATGGTCCTAATATATTTGGTTTGTTTATTTCCTTGAAAACATGTATTGAAGGGTTTTTCAAAACACTGAAAAGAAATATGAATTTATTTCATTCTTCATAGTTTTTGTTGACATTCTTGAAGCGACAGCATGTATTTTTTTGACTCGTCAATGACGTAAACTCATTAAAGCCTCATGGACGTACTTTATTATTCGTAAAAAAAAGGTAAATAGAAAAAAAAAAGAAAAAGAAAATGAAATCCCGTTTTTGTATATATATATATATATATATATATATATATATATATATATATATATATATATATATATATATATATATATATATATATATATATATATATATACATATAGATATATAGAATAGATAGTATGAGTGAATAGTTGGGATAAAAATATTATTATTATTTTTTATATTTTTGAGTGTAGTTTGGTCAATCCCCTTCAATCCCTCACTCCTAAATAAATTTGTCAATCGGTGATCCACTGACTACAATCTACTTGTTAGTGCTATATTTTCGAACTGGAGCCTATTGAAAGTTTATGTCAGAGCATGATATATTTTAGAGCTCAAGAACTACAACGCTTCATAATACCGTGACTCCATGAAAGCTTCTTGTTTCGGCCAAGCCAACTGAACTGTTGATTACTAAATAAAGCTCGCCTACATCTAGCTCGCCTTGTTGGAGTTGCTGGACCTATTGTTCCGTTCAGGAGCTTAGCTGAGTTTGTTCCTCTTCATCTTTAGGCTGACAATTGGCAAGGATCATATCGTCATGATTTAAATATTTATCAAGCTGATAATTTACTAGACATCGATATAACAGCCTTATTACATCTTTCTCAAAAAGTGCATGTTAAAATTTTAAAATATTGAATAACATTACGTCACAATTTTAAAGCATTTTATGGATTCATACAAAAAATGTTCCTCTCCCTCTCCATATTCTAAAATAGTTATCTTCTTAGTAATTTAAAGTTTTTTTTTCCTATAAAAGAAGCAACTTATTTTATATCGCTATAAAAATTTTACTTACAAGATGGTCAAAGTTGGATTTTTGTTGTAATACTACCCAGGCCCTGCAAATAATTCTCATAGTATGTTGGATAGTGAAAAAATTGTAATATAATATAAAAAAAGTAAATTCTTTCTCGCCCCTATCAATTATTATTATTCAAAATAATAATACAAATTATGTGTAAAAATTAAAAAAGATAGTCTGTATCTTTGCTATAAGCCGTCAGATTTTGTTAATTTTTTATCAGTTTCGAAAGGAATTCAGAAACCTTTTAAATTATAATATCAAACACCTATAAATTGTATTTGAGTGATGCGCAGTATGGGGGGCTGTGGTTATTTTTCAAAGGAGAGCATAATCTTCAAGCGATGGCTCTATCATTGCAATCGAATATTGCACTTATAGAATTAACATTTGAATTTGTATTATGGTGGGTGCAGGTGTATTATTAAAGAACTCAGAGTTTGTTGAACTGTAAATGGCTCTTAGAGTATATTGTTTCTTTCTTCTTTTTTTTATAGCTAATTTATTTAAGGTTATCCCTTTACAAGGGAGCACAGGCGGATCTACAGGGGATGGGGACTTCCGGGATGAAGCTCCCCCCCAAATGGTAAAATGTAACGATGTTTTTAATTTTTTTTTTTTTTTTCTTTTTTTCTTACCCTCCAAAATGTTTATTGAAACAATTACATACATAGTATACAATAATACAATATATACATGTAATAAATTCCTTCCACTGCCTGAGGGCATTTTAAGGATTGGAGATAGCTAAGGGTTACATATGTGGCAGAAGGCCTTGTGACTTTGACATTGAACGGGGAAGGACCGTTCTGCTAATTTTTTATTATTTACAATATATACAAATTAATGAGTTTGGACCGCAGAGACCAGACCACATCCTTCGGCGAGTATGCCCACCAAAGGGAGTTTACCTTGCCACCTCCCAGGTCTGGGTGGTGGTGAGATCTCATTGAACAGTGGGTTTGCACAGGCCTTCAGCCCATCAAAAAATTTGATGTGCCTCCGGCCTATGAACTCAGGTACCGAGGGGAGCTGGTGCTCCTCGCGTATTGTTTGATTCTTAGCCCTTTGTAGGGTGGTGCCGAACGATTCGCCGAAGGATAGAGTTCTGGAAACCCTGTAGACTCGTAAGCGTGGATTTATATAGGTATCGCAGGAGAGGGGCCCCGTGGAGCAGTGTTGGTCTTATAATAGCTTTATAAATTTGGAGCTTGAGTCTCAGCGAGAGCTGCGGCGACGTCAGTAGGTGGTAGAGCCGTCTTGTGACTTCTTTCGTGCCAGCTTGATCCTCTGCCTAACGTGATTGGAGAAGGTCAAATGTCTATCTAGCGTGACGCCGA